CAGTAGGATTGCTTCCATAAAGTCCTGCTCCAAACACGGGCCCATTGTCGAAGCCATCGCAACACGATGCAGCACAAACACTTTCCATCCACCATCCACGTACCTTTTTGGGGAACAGGCAGTCAACAGTCAACCATGCAATTTTGCGCGTCGTCACAGGTCACAGGGCTGGGCTGGGCCTCTGTTTGGCTGTCGAAGGGCAGGAACTGCCGATCGGGTAGTTCAAGCGCGCAGTGCCAGCAGCCCGTCCGCAAGGCCTTCTCTTCTCGACAGACGGCGAAAGATTGGCAGTCCCGAATCGGCGAAACACTGTTACCGGTACGGTACAAAGGTACCTAATGAGGGGTCGGGCGGCGGAGGGATAAGCTCGGGAGGGACTTGATGTGTTGTGTGTCAGGCAGAGGTCGGTCCATGGCCATTTGGTTTGGTTTGGTTTGGTTTGGCGCCTCTTGTTCCGCCGCCGCCCCTCCCCCCCCCCAAGCGCCGAGCCTGCCCATCTGCCTAGCAGAATATCATTCATGGCGACCTCAAGGTTGGAGAGGGGGAGGAGGAAGAAGAAGAAGAAGAAGAAGGGAACATGGAAAGCTGGTGACATGGTCGGTCTCCTCAACACGGCCCTGCAGCACCTCACTTCACTATGCTACTATTTGTACGAGCGCTGCGGCTGTCTCTTTTTCCACGCCCATGCTTCGACTTGATGCACGCTCACGCGCATTCACCCCACGTGACGCCAAGCCCGCCAGGAATGACGCTGCCCAGGTGGGTTACAACAGGCAGTCCAGCACCCTTCTAGGTGGTGCTTAGAACCAGGTTCACGCAGCTCGTGTGCTGTCAGCTGGCATGGTTTCGCAACAAGCTTGTCAACTAAAACTTTGTATTCTGAGAGGAATCCCGCCCACGCAGACGAAGAGAACGCCATCCATCCGCTCTCGTTGGACGTTGACCAGAGGGGGTGTAGAGAGAGTGGTCCAGCACCATGTATAGCCCTGCCTAGGTGATTCATGTTGACAGCTCGGATACCTACAAGCATGCGAGCTCTCGACCCCATCGACCCCATCCCCCATTGACCCCATCCCGTTTGAGCTCCCAACGAGCCTGCACCTTGAACGTCCCTTTTTGGCGGCCCTAGACACTGTGGATTCAAGTCACCCAAGGTAGCCTTTGTGAACAACATATAACGAAGCTAACGTGCATCCCTACCATCCTGAGATGATCATTGCCAAACTGGTGTACCACTGTGCTCATAGAAGTGAATCCAGTCGCGTGAACACGCTCAAGCAAGCAGCGACGACCTGGGTACCCTGTCAGTATTGCTCTCACGAGTCCGTATACCCTACGCCGGACACTCACCTCGAGTTGCAATTCCTTGTCCTTGGCTCCGTTCACTTCGTCAGCGATGACTTGTCCCAGGTTGGCACCCACGCCCTGTGAGCCGCCTTGTCGCTTTGCAAAAGGCCACTGCGAATACTCTGCCAGCAACTCGTCCACTTGAGCAAACGCGCGTTCTCGAGCCTCGTGTCCCAATGTAGTCAACGCATTCTCCAGCACGTTGGCTGCATACGCCGCGCAGACCATGGTGACGGTTCGAAGCACTCTGAACTCGAGTTCCTCTGGCAAGAATTGGCTGCCAGGAAGAACGACAGTGCGGTTCGTGAGCACATTTCGGACCCGGCGCCTAATCTCTTCCTTTGCGCCGCCGTCTGCAACAGGATGTGTGGCCATGTCGAAGAGTAAGAAGTTCTTCTTTTCGGTGCGGAGGATGCCCTTGTCGACGAGGCCTTTGCATAATCGTTCGCGTACTTGTTTCAGTTGGTAGCCAATCTTCATCAAGTTCCATGTTTCTCCTGAGTGCAGTATATCAGCAACGTGTGCTTTGACAAGATCACCATATCTGGGCGAACATACCGCTCATCAGGTCGATCCAGGAATTAACGCTCATCTTCTCGCTCGACTTCATCATCTTCAGTGCCTCGTCCAGTAACACTTCGCCGGTAAGTGTGTCGTCAATGACCTCAATGACCCGGTCTGCCAGGGGAAATCGCCGCCGCGAGGAGTCCTTTTGCATGCTCACTCGACCTCGAAAGGCCAGCTCTATGACAATGCATCCTCGCAAGGCATAGGAGATGTTATCGTTCCAAAATGACAGATATCCCTATACTCGAAGATCAGCCCCGTATCTGATATGCCACGGTTGCGACTTGCGCACCTGCTTGTCCTTGAGGCCCATGAGAATGATTTCCTCCATGAGCGTCAGCTTGGGCTGCTTGCTCCTTTCTGCGCTCTCACTGATATCTCGCGGATCGAATGCGATCTTGTGGCCATTCTCGGAGTTTTCGTACGACGTCTCGGGGGCGCGATTGTCGTCGTTGCGCTTCGGTGCTGGCGAGCTGACGCGGCTGCCTTCGTCCTCGCCATTGCTGGCAGCGCCCGCTCCTCCTCTCCGGCGCGTCAGACCAGAGCTCGATGCCATTTAGGAGAGATTGTGGAACGGAAACGGTGTTGTGCTGAAATTATGGGTGATGCTCCTCGATGAGCGCAGGGATGAGGCGCTTGGGCGGCACATGCGCGTTCGGCGGGAGGTTGCAAGACTCTCAATATAGATGGTATGAGTAAGCCCGGCGAATTTGGCAACAAGTAAGAGAAAAGGGGGTCTCAAGTTTCTACCCTGTGCAAAGTCGCGGGTGCAAAATAAAGTGGGAGAGGTTGCTTGTGTTCCTGTCCTCTACAGAAACCTTGCAGGTGGTGGCTCGCTGGTGCCAAGACAATTCAGGCACGCTTCAGTTCGGGTTCCAAGGTTGTGCTAAAGGCTGAAAGTGCCACGAGAGACTAGCGTCACAACAGATGGTGCGCCGCACTTATGAGAATTGGATAGCATCAATTCTATCGAGAGTACAGGATGCCATCCCAGACGACTATTTTACAAGGAGGCAGACATATGACAACGCCGGTAGAACCGACTACCCAGACCCACATTCATGTTTCTCCATCCTCAACTTTCTTTCGCGGACATTATCTAGTGGGCTGTATTCATAATTAGCTACTGACTAGTAAACAGCGCTTGTTTCTCGAAGAGACCTACCATCAGGTTGGGCGAGGATGTACTCCACCGCTTGCTTGACTATGGAGGTATCAGTACGTTTGTGGGTTCCCAAACCAAATCTCAAGACGTACCGCTGTGGATAGCGTCGGCCTCCTTATCGGGGATCTCAATGCTGAATTCCTACATAACGTCAGATGTGCTATCGGAGCGCTATGACATGGCAACAAACCTCTTCAATTGCCATGACGACCTCTACGGTATCAAGACTGTCGAGACCAAGGTCATTGTGGAAGTGCGATTCGGCGTTGAGCTGGGATGTCTTTGTTAGGCATTCCGATTCTACAATTTCAGAGGCGATGGGTGTGCGTATGTACCTTTGACGCATCCGTGACCTGCATCTCATGTTAGCCATGTTCCCCACCTCCGATCGCATTGTCCTTACCTTGTCAAAATTCTTCAACAGATCCATTATCCTGCCAGTAACCTCATCCCGCGATAGACCGGCGCTTGCAGAGTAGCATCGTGCGGCCTGGAAGTATACAGAGGGCGTAATTTGCTTGGGCTGGAGGAAAGAGCTGCGCGCAATGGGGCGAGCCATTGAGGCCTGGCATCTTGGTGCAGCGCGAACGGCTGACCGTGCGGATCGGAGGAGCGCTGTTCGGAACATGGTGGCTGAGACTGAAGCGTGTCGGGGCGGGATGGTGGAGTCAGTGGGTGCGGTGATGTCGATGTCGACAAGAGGTTTGGAGAACTTCGAGCTAGGGCCTTAGTCAGCTGGCCAGACAGAGGAGTGGCACAGCGAGGGCGTCTACTGTGCATGTGCACCTTGAAAAACACCAAGTACAATTAGAATAGACCTACCGTTGTGAGTCGTAAACTACTGTTTTCGTCTTGAAGGCCTTTTCCTACACCTTGACTTGATCGCAAAGTTGCCCCCCTCGTCGTCGTTGCCGTCATCGAAAACCAGCCAATCGCAGCGATTCCGTTACCAGCACCTTCAAGAATCCAGCTTCACAACACTCCGGAACCGCGACCGCCAGCAACCACCCACTCCGCCAGCGACCGACACCCGCTCACAATGGCCAGCACCAAGCCGTTGACGATGCTGGCACGCAGCCGCCCAGCCGCACCTTTCCTACGGCCCTCGCAATTCGCGTCTGCACGCCTCCCCTCGCCCGCCACCGTCGCCTTCTTTTCCACCACGCTCTCGAGAGCCGCCACTCCTGCAGGCCCACCGCCACCAGGCTTTCGGTTACCCCGGCCCAAGCGATGGGATGAGGGTGAAGCTGCATTGGACCGCGCGGGCAAGTACTTCTTGCTCTTAGAGATGTTCCGCGGCATGTATGTGTCGCTAGAGCAGTATTTTCGACCACCGTAAGTGATGTGTAGTGGCCGGATGAGCGCTGGCAATGGGGCACGAGATGGAGATTCTGACATGTTTGGAGGTACACGATTTTCTACCCATTCGAAAAGGGCCCAGTCTCCCCCCGCTTCCGAGGCGAGCACGCTCTGCGACGGTATCCCACGGGTGAGGAGCGCTGCATTGCCTGCAAGCTTTGCGAAGCTATTTGCCCTGCACAAGCGATCACAATCGAGGCTGAGGAGCGCATGGACGGTAGCAGGAGGACCACCCGATATGATATTGACATGACCAAGTGCATCTACTGTGGTCTTTGCCAAGAGAGCTGTCCCGTCGATGCCATCGTGGAGGGTATGTTCCTTCAGTCCCTGACACATGCCGTACTGAGCTAACAGAGAATAGGACCCAATACCGAGTACGCAACTACAACCCGAGAAGAGCTTCTATACAACAAGGAGAAACTGCTCTCGAACGGTGACAAGTGGGAGCCTGAGCTAGCCGCAGCTGCTCGTGCAGATGCGCCCTACAGGTAAGACGGGCTTGGTCGATCAGTCTGAGGTGTGTAAATATAAGCGCAGTGTCTAGGGCTGGTACAGCCGTCGCAAGTTTCCTTTGTAGTGTATACGATACAACGGCTGCCACAGTGCATTGAATCTATACCCAATATTTCAACCCTCTCCAAGACATTATAAATGGGTCAATCGCAAGCAGCAAATCTTTCTACCAAAAAAAAACGAGAAGGCCAGGGATATTTTCTATTCATGCACGGCACGAGTATGATAATGTAGTCTGGTAGTTGTAGGGAAAGGCGATGTAGAACAGAAGACATCATCATATTCAAGCACTACATACTCCTAACGCTCAGATACATGCTGCCATAGTATGGTATCAAACGCCAAAATGCTCGTCCAAAATTTTGTTCCACGTGTCCAACCCGATTGAACCCCCAGCGCCCAAACTATGTTCGTCGATTGCACATATCAGATGCGTCCTCTACCTTGCCTTGAATGTGCCCTCAAAGCCCGGTCGCTTGACTTTCTTGCCAGGCTTCTTGGCTCCTCCCTTTTTCTTGCCCTTTTGGCCTTTTTCCTCTTTCCGCTTCCGAAGGTTCTCCTCACGCTTCTTTTGTTTGGCCTCTTTGCCGTGCTCGACGTTGGTTAGGCGCTCTTTCCACTCTTGTTTGCTCTTCTCTTTCTGCTTGAGTTGGCGCTTTAGACTCTTTTTGAGGAGGCCTACATCGTCCAAGACCTTCTCCCCCTGTGCTCTCTTCTTTGCGGCAAGCCAAAGGACCTTTTCTTGTATATCTTTCCGCTTCTCCTCATCAAGACCATTTAGGCGGGCTTGCTTCTTTTGAGCAGCTTCCAATGCCGTCTTGGCGTCTGACTTGCCCTTCTTCTTCCTGGATTCGAGGAAACCGGAGAGGTTGGCTTCGAGTTGTTGTCCGTCCCATGCTACTTTGCCGAAGTTGAAGTTGCGTTCGCTTTCTGGTGACCTGGCAGGGAACACTGACGGCGAACCGGAACCGCCTCGAATGCGCGCGAGTTGTTCCTCTGCCTTTTGCCGGGCCTCGTCCTCTTTTGCCTCTTGACGACTGGCCTTCTTTGCTGCTTTTCGCTCGGCCTCCTTCTTCCGCCGTTGTTCGATGAGCTCTGCTCGGTTTCTTGCAGGGCGACCGTCAGGTCCATCTGCCTTGCGCGCTTGACGCATTGCCTCAAGTTTTGCATTAAGTCGCGCCCTGAACTCATCCTGGGCTTGTGCGTCAAGCTTGAAGGTTTTCTTTGCTTTCTTCTCAGGGCCGTCCTCGCTCTGCTGGGCCTGCGATGATGCTGATGTAGCAGCGGAATCGACTGAAGCTGTAGATGAATTTGACTCGGCGGCAGTGGAAGGAGCAGTAGACTGAGCATCATCGACAAGGCCACTGACGTCGAGAGCTTGTATCCGATCATCTGGATGTTCGTGTTGATCTTCAGACGCATCATCGTCTTCGACCTCGTCCTCGTCTGCCTCGGGCTTCTCCGTGGCGGCAAGATGCTTAAACTCAGCCTCGGCGGTCTTTTTTGCCTCCTTCTTTTCCTGCTTCTTCAGCTGTTGCTCTTTTCTCTTCTCCCTACGCTTCTCTCTTATGGCTTCTGCCTTGGCTTCGGCTTTGGTCAGAGCGCGTCCTTCATCCTCTTCCTCTTTCGCCGGTTCCTGGGCCTCGACAGCCTTCTTTTGTTTCTTGGCCTTGCTCTTGATGCCCTCTAGAGGCTTCTCTTTGACAATGTCCATGTCGAGCTCAGAGGATTCCTCACCAGAGACCTCGCCCTCGATCTCACGTTTCCGCTTTCGCGCATTCTCGTCCATGACGTCTTTGGCTGACTTGTGGAAAGCTGGGTCTAGCTTGGCTCTCTTTGCAGCCTGGCGTTCCTCCAGGGTCTGCTTTTTCTTCTTCTGCCATTGTGTCTGCATCAAGGGTCAGCACGACACGACATGGGCGCTTGAACACGGTGAGAGCGTACACTGGTGATGCTCTCGTCTTTGCCATAGTAGTCCTTGGCGGGGATCAGGGACATGAGGCCTTCAAACGCCCGAGCATGGCTCTTGAGGCGCTCCTGGGAATTGTTGTTAGTGGGAGTGGCATGGGAGGCGGGGAAGGGGCGCAGCGTACTTCGAGGGTGTCGCCCATGTTGGTTCGTGTGAACAAAGTGAATAGACTCTGCGGGTATACTTGGTGGTGGGGAAGACGGCTCTAGAAGAGATGCAAGCTGTATAATTGGCGGAGACAGCAGCAAAAGACAAGGCGTGTCGTGTCGTGTGCGGGTCAAGAAAAATCGTGGTGGAAATGCACGAGAGCCAAGATTTCGATGGGATTTCGCGCTATTGTACTCTACCCAGCAAGCCCAGCAAGCCCGGCTAGGCCTAGGCGCCAAGCTTGGAAGCCCCCCGTGACCAATGAGCAAGAGGCAGGCGCGCGAGGACCCAACCACCCCGATTCGGCATCGCTTCCCTGGGATCAGGCGCTTTCCCTCCGACATCCGACCTCCATCAGCCCTTTCACTGTTCACTGTCAGTCAGTCGGTGTCAGGGCTTGCCCAACAATCAGACAATGCTTCGTGGCCTCACCCAGACCCCCCGCTTATTCGCCTCTCTTTCTGCTATCTGCACGACAAGCAGCCAAGACAGCACATATCGCGCCTCTCCCTACGAGGGCACAACACGCTTGCTGTGTGGGGGTACCTACGCGTTCGCACAGCCACTCAAACAACCGTAGGTGGCAGGGCAGGCACAAACTCAGCTGCTCGCACCACTCGCACCACTCGCAGAACCGCATTTCCATTTGCATTTCCATTTCCATTTCCATAGCTCTCAACACTGCAAGCAACAGTGCAAGCCAGGATAATCGTCATCATCGTCGTCGCCATCGTAAACTCTCCGTCTCGTTATTCTTTCGCGCCCCATGTCTACATCCATTGTGGAAGCAAAGTCTCTTTCCTCGCTCACAGCACTCGCTTCCAATCCGCCCGCATATCCCAGAAATCCGACCCACGTGAAGCATGAACCGCTGACATTGTATATTGCCCGCGTTCCTGGCAGTAAAGGTACGGCTGTCGGTGTCATGTGACCTCCAGGGCAACCCCACTAAACATCCCTCAGATGTCTTCTTGTCGCCGATGAAGCCGCGGGAAAAGGTAGTGACTGCCGAAGACATCCATAGTTCGCTCTATTTTGTCCATGTGGAGCAACCTGAGGATGCTCGACTCTTGATTCCTTTAGATTATCAGAACGCCGAGTACCCAGAGCAAACTCAAGCTTCTTCCCACACTCCATCAGTGGCCCCAGGCATCCAGCGCAAGGCCGTTCCAGGCGCTCCAATCAAGGTTCCCCCACGCAAACCAATCCCAGGCACCCTCGCACCTATCCATGATGCCGAAAACAGACAGAACATCAGTGCCGGCCAATATGATCAGAGACACCGTTCATTAGTCCCTGAGCACAATCCACGCCGTTCCTTTGACTCCAACCAATCCCGCCAGGAGAATGATGGACCGCGACCTTCACCGCGTAGAGCATCGGAGAATCCCGAAAGAAATGGCACTACGCTCACTCTGATCCGACGAGATCCAGCATCTGGCTCTCAGTGGAATGTTGCCAGAATTGAGGATCCAAATATTTTCGACGTCTCATCTTCCAGTGATCCTGTCCTGAAGAAGAAGATAGGGTCTCCCATGTACATCGAAATATTGAATCCAGGCTACTCCAAGTTCCTTCATTCCGACACTAGCAGCAGCAGCTCTGGCTTGATAAATAGTAACGGTGATGTACCTGCTCGATCGGCTCAGGATTCGTTGTCATTACCGCACATTCGAACACCGCAACTGGAACCGCTTTCTCTGGCGAGTGAAAACATCTTTCGTCGACGTTTGTGGATGGAGGGCACGCAGCATGGTAACGCTGCGTTTGGCCACCGCAAACATACTTCTCAGGACTATAATACACCACAGCCTAGCTCGAGGGGTAGGCACGGAAGGCAAGGGGAAGGTGCTGCTGGCGTTCAGCGCCCGCAGCCTATGCCATCGTTCTTGCAACGTCAGGATCAGACATACAACACCATACAAGTCTCCGAAAGGCAAACGAGCTTCCGTGGTTATGTATTCAACAGTCCCTGGAACGGTCGATGTGAGTTCATCACTGGGCTGGTCGGGGGTTCACTGAAGGTAAGGCACATTGCACCTTAGCAGGCCTCCACGGTGCTGTATTGATTTTTGACGTAGTGCCGACATGTTATTCCTGGCCTACAAGGAGCGCCCGCTGCAATGACAGTAAGCGAGCTGAGATTCAACTTGCCCAGCAGCTCCAAGGTCATGTCCCCAAGGGCAGAAGAGTCTTCAAAACGTTCTTCATTCTTCCTTCGTGGCACACGGCACAATCGTAACAACTCCACCGATAGCACGGAGGATGTGCGCAATTCTCGCGACCGTTTGGACTTATCCCTCGGCCAGGAGTTTGCAGGGGGTGGATTTGGAGGCAAACAGGCAAAGCTAGGCAAGATCATCCTAGAAGACGAAGGATTGAAGATGATGGACTTATTGATGGCGGCCAATATAGGGTTATGGTGGAGAGCATACGAGAGGGCGAGTGCCGGCTTGAAAGGGGATCGCGGAGGCTTCCAGATGTGAACTACTTGCATTGTATACGTACAAAAGTTCACCGGCGTATACATATTGGCTCGAAAAACCGTCCGAGGAAGCACTGCAACAAGCGCTCGATTGCCTGGTCATGATTCCTGTGTACGATAGAGAAGGAAGGTTCGACAGAATTCTCGCTTTCACATTGACAGTCACGTTTCGCTTTCACCTTTATGGTTGCCTCTATAAACATTACACAGGCCCCTCGTTCTCGCACACACGGCAGAATCCGCAGCTTTCAACCCTTCGACGACTTGCATTCGTTCTCCCATTCTCCCATTTTCTTGTCATCTCACACGCTCAGACAACGTCATGCCGCGTGGGAGCCGAGAAAGGGAGAAGAAGTCACAGCCAATTGTATCAGATGATGATTCTGATACGATAGTCGTCGCTAGACACGCAATACCGCTACATCTATCTCCAAATACCTATGGCTTGAGCAAGCCTTCGCCGCGCAAGGAGACAACCGTCTACAAGTCTCCGTTGAAAGAGAAGCATACAGTCTTCGCAGCAGACGAGGAAGATATCAAAACTGGTAAGAATCCGCCGAATCTCCACTGCTGGGTACTCATAATTTGTGCGCCCCAATTACTGACTGAGTTTCCTCAGAGCTGGACGAAGATGTCTCCAATGACATGAAACAAGCTGAGCCGGAGCAGCCGATAAGCAAGAGCTGCGCCGTATCCGGATACCATATCATACTCAAGGACGAGGAAGACTATAAAACCTTTGCCGATATCATGGCAAAGTACCCCGGCGCAAATCTCCCAAACATCCGCATTCTGGAGATCCACATTGATACCACCAAGCTCACAGAGTACCATGACTTCCGCATGGCTCTAGCACTTCAAGAGTTCCAGCCATCGAGAAACGGAATGATTCCGCACCGGCTACATACACTACGCGTGGTAGTGAAGGGAGATGTACTATTCACTCGATATGCTTACCATCTCGCATCCCCAGCAGCATCAGAGGATGCCAGTCACGTAATGAAGAAGCTCATTAGAGACAGATTGAGCAGGAAACAAAAATCCAACCTGATGTATAAGCTTAACAGTACGGAATTGGGTATTTCAAATGCCCTTCTTGCCACGCGTGGTGTCAAGCAAGTTAGTATCGAAGGAACGGGTAAGGTCGAAGGCAACTTTGCCCAAACCCTCCTCGATACTCTGACCCAGCCTCCGGGCACAAAAATCATTCAACTGCATGAGCCTGTTTTTCCTTTTATTGCAGACGAGATAAATCGGACTGGTGAAATCTGTTCTGGGGATTACAAAGGCTCGACCTTACAATCACGCCTAACGCTAGATCAGAGTAGGCATGATTTCCCGGACATGGGTGAGGAGGGGCGAGAAGAGGTAGCAAGTTTGGGTGTTGCGGATATGGTTCGAGTTCGCAGGAACACGACGGACACAAGCGACGCCCTAGACGGCAACACTGATATTGAATTTGGATGGAAGATCTGACAGAAAGGAGCTAGTGTTGCAGAACAAAGTCCTGAAGCAAAGTTTAGAGTAGGGCTACTAGTTCTCGTGTTGCAGGCAAATCCCCAGCCTACAAGGATATAAAAGTTGAGCCAGTGTGTAGCTAGATCAGCAATACTGTCCAGCAGTAGGCTGGGAAGATTGAATGGCATGTTGTGACAATGGCAAAAGAAGGGAACAGAGGTTGATTACATAACTAAGAGTGCCTCAGTGGTGCTTTTAACTACAGACTTATAGGCCTACCCTGAAGCTTCAATACCTGGTCTGCACATTATGTATAAAAGTATGTATTGTACCAAGACCACACATACTACACAGCGGGACGCACTTGCACTTCTTGACTTACATATTACGCAACTTCCGAAAGTTCTTTCCAACGACTGACATATGGCCACAACAGCACCTTCCAATATGCACTGGCTACCTCGCATCTCGTCCCATGCGCCCTCATAAACAGCCGTCTCTGTTTCCATCTTTCCTCTTCCTCCAACCTTTGACCCAAAACCTCATACCTCAACAATCCTAGCTATCAGTTGCATATTTTGACACACATCCTCTCCTCTGTTTCCCCCTAGCAGCGCCCACGATCGCTAGCTACATTGTCCTTCCACTATGCTGGCAGCTCACTCCAAGGTCTACTCAATACCCCAAACGATGTTGTTTACCGCTATCATCCTCACTCCTGCCGCCCTCGCCACACCCGCATTGCAGGACCTTATAGATCTGAGGGCAGTGATTAATACAGCAGCGAGCACGATTGGAGATACGAACAATCCAAATCGAGGGTGGGGCTTCAACTTTGGGGGAAACGGACAAATGGGCACTGCGGACCTGGTCAACAATGTCACTACCACCATCCTGAGGTCAAAGTGGCAGCTTGACACCAACAAGGTATGTTTCTGCTTTTTACAGACTGATGCGGAATGAGAGCTCTGATGCCACTGTAGACGATGTGGCTCTTGCCGGCAAACAACACCAATACTAGCGATCCTAATACTACACCTCCAGCCTTGACACAGACTCTACCTTTAACTGCCAGTCTCGTCCTACCTTCCACGCTCCCAACTACGACACCCACACTCGATAACATCACCAACGACCTCTCAACACCTTACATCGACTACGTTTCTGCCATCCCAAGCCTAAGCACCAGCCTGATATCCCTCGGCCGCGCATACCATCGTGAGATGAACACACCAGTTTACCAAGCCATTGCAGGATTACAACAGGGCCTCACAGCCCTCCAATCCACAATGCTAGCCAACAATCTGATTCGCCCAAACGCCGTCATTCGGACCCTCCGCGCAAGTAGCAGTCTCGAGGACGCACAGCAGGCCTTCAGTCGCCTGCTCAACCTCCCTGGAACCGTGAGTGCACCGACCACCGACTTGGCTGGCACCGGCACCAATGACTCTGAGGAGACAGACTCCCACGCGGTGAAGGTACGGGCGGTAAGCGTTGCGGAGCCGCCGGCGAGACAGGGAGGTTATTTTACACATGAGGATCTTTGGGGAAGAAGTCTTGTCGTGAAGAAGCAGACGAGACAGGGTGATGTAAAGTGGTACGATGCATTTGTTGCATGGGAGGAAAAGCGCCGGAATCATGGCTTGAAGGCTCGGACGACGAGTGTATTCGTTGCGTAAAAGTGTCCAGGTCCTCTTCCTCTTTGCACTTTTTCCGTCTCCGTCTGGTGTGGCGCCTGGTTTGCTAGCTAAATAGTCGCTCTTGATAGATATGCAGTTGATGAAGGATTTGTCAACTACCTACATGGCTAGAGGGATGATGGCAAGCAGCTTTTACTCGTGTGAAGCATACTTTTCATACAAAATATGTATACATGCACACAATCACAACCACCACACCACCACCCTCGCACCCAAGAAATACCCCCCAAAAAACATATCCCACGATATTCACACCCCACCGCAATTCTACCCCTCACTCCCCTACCATATCCAATTGACACCACACGACACGACATCAATCCCAATCCCGATCCCAAAAACACAACACAAAACCCACATCCAATAAACCAACCCGTGTCCTTGTCCCCTCCCCCCCTAGACCATGATAACCATGATGACCATGCCCGTACATGTAGCTGCATTGCAAGTCGTGCTGAATAAAGTAAAAGGCTGAAAAACAGTGAAGAGGCAGATGGAGATGGATGGTGTATGCAGCAGCATCGCTGTAGGGTTATTTTATGTTACAGGGTGGGGCGGGGTGTGCATGGTGTGAATGGCATGACTTATATGGGGAATGCTGTTGATGTTCTTGTTCATGTGGACGTTGGTATTGACAGAGAGGCACTGACGACGCAAATACGTAAAACATATAGACATGTGCGCATACAGCCTCCAGCCAGCCTCCAGCCTCCAGCATACAACACACAACATACGACACAACATACAGCACACCCTAACCAGCACCCCTCTCGCCCCCCTCACCAGCCCAACCTCAAGCCCGCCCAAACCCCCCTTCATCAAACCCAGCAACCAAACAAACATAAAGACCGTCATTCAACCACCACACACACACACCAAGAAAGAAGCAAGACAAAGACACCACCAAAACCACAGCTCCTCAACATCATGGGTATTCCAAAACCAAAAGAGAAAAGAAAAGAAGATGAAAATGGGAAACAAAGAACATGAACATTGACTGACCCCTTTCTTGTCCTCCTCTTGCCCACGTCTTCCCACGCCCTGACCCAGACTTCTGCCTACACCATACTCCATACACACACACACCCTTACTGCAACACCCACTCACTCCCCCTCTTGATAAACTTATCCAACATCATCGTCACATCATTCAGCACAAAGCGGCAAACATAAAAGCCAAAGAACTCGGCCGCATGGCGGGCCGAGAGTTCGAGGCCGACGTGGGTGGGGGAGCTGTGCTTGAGGCCTGGGTCTTCTACTTGGCGGGCGATTTGGTCTGCATGGGGGTTAGTATTGTGGTTTTTGTTATTGTTGTGTATGTTTGGGTGGGGGTTGGGTTATCTGTGAGGGGGCAAAAAAAAGGGGGGTGGGGGTGGGGGAATTAGAGAAGGGAAAAAATACACACCCAGAATCTGAGCCGAATCAAACAAGCGCGCCAAACTACCCATGTACCCAGAATTCGGCCCCTCAAACACCACACCCGAAATATCCCGCTTGGCAAATCGTATACTGGGCAGACTGGTCATGGGCAACGTAGCCATGACCAACGAGTCCTTGGGCACCTCGCTCCTCCCACTCGTACCCGCCAGACTGGCCAGATTGACGCCAGAATTCTTGGACCGCAGTTTGCGCCACGATGTCAGGTAGGATTTGCCCTGTGCCACTGCGCTCTTGGGCGCGGCGTGGTCTTGCGAGTTGTGGGAGCCCTTGCCCAGTCCCTCAGCAGAGGCGGCGCCTTCACCGACCGTGGTTGCGTCTTTGAAGAGTGCGGCGGCCGAGTGCACGCCCACTTCGTTTCCGAGCTTCTTCGCCAGTTGGGCTTGCACTTGGTCGAGGACGAGCTCGAGAGATTGCATCTCCTCCAGAATGGCATCTGCGTCGAATGTGTCGACCGAGGCCAACTTTTGCAACGCGGCGGTGAGAAGGTCGCAGTTTGCAATCTTGTCTTCAATGTTCTTGATCTTGACGCCCTTGACCCGCCATACATCACGGGGAATGAAGAGCTTGGTCGAGAGGTAGCCGCCACGGGGATGGGCAATGGTCTGGTAGAAACATCGCATGAGCCAGAAGGGACGGAGCAGATACGACTCTGGACAAGGCTCCAGCGGTATGGGCGCATTTGCGACAGCAGGACTGGGTGAGCCAGGAGAAAAGGGCGAATGGATGTCGCTCTCAAACAAGTGCATTCCTCCACTCGGTAAGCCATCGACATTGAAAGCAGGGAGACTGGGCGTCGCCATGGTTAGACCAACATTGCTTGGCTTTCGTCCGGTAATGGAGAATGTAGTGCTGAGGGGGGTCCCCACTGAGACTTCGGATCCATCTGGGCTCGATATCGATAGATTCCGCTGTTTCAGGCTGAGGGATGATTTGTTCTTCCGAATCCCCATGGCCGAAGTCCTTCCACCCTTGGGAGATCCGGGGACAAGGCCAGCTTCGTTTGAAGATGCATGATTCAGAGCAGGTGTAGCCGGTGAGACAGTGGCTATGGTCTCAGCCGGACTATGTGGGTTTGGCTGCGGGGATGGGGCCGCAAGATGGTTCTGATGAGAGGACGGGGGCAGAGCCGGAAGTTTGAATGCAGGATCTAAACCAGGCTGAGTATTGAATGTCGACGTAGCAGCTGCAGATTTTGGCGGAATGGTGAGAGTGGCAGGCGAGTTCTTGGCCGGTACCGGTGGCTTCTCTGTATGGGGTGCTGCTGGTACAGGAGGAAGGGAGGTTTCAATCTTCAGGTTCTTTGCATTTTGCCCAGACAGTCTCCGACTCCTGACAGAAGCAGCGTCCTTTGGCACTACGGCAGGGCGTGGTGTCACTTCAGCAGCGTCATTTGCTTGCGGGCCCTGGCTTTCTGGAACCGAGGGTAATGCTGGAAGGGATCCAGAGGGTGCGGGCACAGCAGGTGGCGAGTGCAAGGGTTGTACGCCTTTGGAAGTGGGGTGCATCACTTCCGCAACCGTCGAAAGCGATGTTCCACCTGTTGTTCTGTGCGAGGACACGGAACTGTTATACGTGCTACCAGAGAAGCCGCTCGAGTCTGACTGTCGCGGCAAGGACGACTTGGTCTGCAAGTCGAAATCGAATCCATCCAGCATGTACTCTCTTGTCATCTCGTCCAACAGACGCTCCTCCTCCTCCGCTTCATTCTCCAACGTTACTTCGGCGCTTTGGCGAACATGGGGCAAGGCTTCAACACCTCGAAGCTGCGTTTCCTTGAAACGGTATCTGGCGGCGGCAATCGCTTCTTCCCGTTCCGCTTCTCGTACCCGCTCTTTTGCCAACTCCACATTCCGTAACCGCGTTGCTATCAAGTCGGCTGGCACAGACGAGCTATCATCGAAAGGCTCATAGCCCTCATCGTAGGCAGCCTCCACAGCTGCATCGAGTGCGGCATCGAATTCTGCTTCCGTCCCTCCACTCGCGTTCCGCATGTGTTTCCTCCGCAATCCCCGAGGCGAGAGTGAGTGAACAGAGGATGAACACGAGGAGCCGCCCGATTCATCGATAGTATCGAGCCATGATGTTGACTCGCTGCTTTGCACTCGTTGGTGATTTGCCTGTGTTGTTGTTTGCTGTGGTTGCAACAGGGCATTTTGTTCATCTGGAGGCATCTCTCTGGCCGCACTGAACAACGGAGACCTCGATCTCTTGGGTGACAGAGGTGGGGGCATACAAGAGCGGTCCATGGGCGATTCTAGGCTTGGCCTTCGGACAGCCTGACCCGGATCAGCCAGTCTTCCAGGTGGCGGCTGTAGGTTGAATTGCGGGGTTCGCATGCTTCTTTGCACATCTTGTATCGCCGTGGAGATGACCGATTCGCGAGCGCCGGCCCCCAACTCTGGCTTCCGAAGTGGTAGCTGGTAAGCAGCGGGTGGAGGTTCCGGCTCTGCGCTGACCGGGGGCTCTTCCCTGGAGCGGTCGTCTATGATCCGGGTCATCGTGGCTGTCTCGATGACTGCTGGCTCCTGCTCCTCGTCGTCGGTGAGCAGCATGGATCGTTGTTCATCGAGGGACTCGCCGCTCATAGGCCGGGCTGGGAGCGATTTCCCGCTGGCATTCGTGTAGCCTGGATCCAATCGCTTGAGCTCTTCAATACGATTGGTATAGGTTACTCGAATGGCATCCAGCTTCCTCCTGTCTTCCTCTTGTGAGCTGCGAATCATGACCTGCTGCAGCAGCTTGCACGCGTCTTCGTACGCCTCCATGGCGCCCTCGAAGTTTTGCGCATTGTCGAGGAGGACAGCCGTGTTTGCCTTTTGCAGCGCCCTCGAGAGCATCGTCTTCTTGTCCTTCTCCCGCCGCTCCCGTGTGCGGGGAGGGGTTCCTTGGTAGTTTTCCTCCAACTTGGCGCTGTTACTGCTCTCGTTTCGAAAATGGTCCCTGCTCTTGCTCCTCGCGTGATCCCTACCTTCAATCGCGCCGTGATCTCTGCTCGAGGTGGCCAAGTGATCCCGTGACGCAGCTGTCCTGTGTCCCGCACCTTGTGGTAGCTTCTGCGCGATCTCTTTTGTTCCCGGCACCGAAGGGCGACGTGCAGCACCGGGTCGGCTGGCGCTGAGATTGGAACCGTACCTTGCGTCCGTCTCTTGACTACCGATGATGGCGGGGGATCCGAGGGGTGACTTGCCCAGCACTTTCTCGGCTTTGGTGCGCGACGCGGGGCGTGGGTGTGCGGGCGACTGCTGCGAAGTCAATGGTTTCGAACTGAAGTAGTCTTGCGGCTGGCTGCCCCCGATGAACAAGCCCGGGGTGAAGAGGGTGGAGGTGGCGGGGGAATTGGCCGTCGAGGCGCTGTGGGGTGAATTGGGGTCGTAGACTGTCGAAGGGAGCAGGATAGGCGGTAGAGAAGGCAGTCGGGGCGGTGCCGTCACCGGAGGCCCACAGGATGGGGAACGAGGGCGGCGAGGGCGGCGCGGACTTGATATGGGCGAGGAAGGGTTTGCGCGTGCGTCTGCTGCAGTGGTGCGCGGAGGCGAGGGACTGAGGCGTGAGGGCGATTGCGGTTGGGCAGCCGCTCCATTGGCGGTATTGGTGTCGGTGTCGGTAGTGATGGTGGTGGCAGTGGTCGAGTTGGCTGTGATGGTGTTGCTGTTGCTGTTGCTGGCGGAGGAGCCCCCAGGGCTGCTGGTGCTTAGTTTGCGCGAGAACCTCGGATGATGAGGGTGGTGATGGTGGTTGTGGGGCGGGGGAGAGCGACTGCTGCTCGAGGTACTCTGCGACCAGCGGTTGATATTGGCAATCGCGTTGGTGTTGGTGTTGGGGGTGCTGGAGCCCTCGCAGAAGGCTACAATGCCATCTGCTGCGCCGTTGGCTGCGCTGGAGCGGCGACGGGCAGCTGGGGGCGGTGTGAGCGGGCCGTGGGATTCGCTTGGGTCCCTGAGGGAGAGTGAGGCGGACCGGTGGACAGTGACGACGGATGAGGAGGAGAGGGAGGCACTGCGCGACGACTGGCGGCGGTGGGCGGCGGCGGCGACGTCGGCAGGGTGACAGGCAGTTGCTGGCGGCGGCGTCGGCGGCGGCGGAGGGCGTGAGGTGAGGTTCATTATGGTGGGCGTCCTGGAGGCGGAGGAAAGTATGTCTCAGGCCAAGCCAATGGGTATAGTTAATGCACGGCGGCTGCAGGCATGGCGGCCAATGTAGGGACGCGCTGCAGCGACGACAATGGGGCGGCGACTGCGGGCGGGTACGCTGTGCGGGCGGCGGTGGTGCAACCTGGGGGCAGCAGCAGAGTGGGCGTGGGCGTGGGCCTGTCGGGTCGTGTACCAGACAGAGACAGAGACAGAGAGAGAGAGAGAGAGAGAGAGACAGACAGAGTGGACGGACTGGACGGACTGGACGGACTGGACTGGGTACAGGGCTGGAAGGGGTGGCAGGTAGGTACAGTAGTAGGGTAGGGTGAGGGTAGGGTAGAATGTAGGTAGGGTGGGTAGCAGCAGGTACGGTAGGGAGCAGGGCAAGGTAGGGGAAGATACCGGTACGCCCTAGAGGAGGATAGGATAGGGCAAGGTAGAGTAGAGTAGCTTAGCAGCTAGGTACCGTATGTACCCACACAGTATGTACTGTGGATGTGTGTATGCATGTATGCAAAAGTATGTGTGTGTATAGTATACGGGGAGCATGTGTGTGTGTGTGTGTGTGTGTGTGTTGCCAAACTCGAGTTGCTGCAAAGCTGGGCAGGACCCCTGGAGAAGCTGCAAGGTACACTACGCACCATGTAGGTACATGTAGTCATAATAGGTCTCGAGATAGTATGCACTGCTATCCTACCTATTTACCTACATTGGCTACTTGGGCTGTAACAAAACTACTGTAGCACCCACACAGCTTGGAGGTCTCTACAGTCTACAGTCTGAGTGGTTCGTGGTCGTGCCTTGTGACGAGGAGAGAGTGCTGGGCGTATTGTGCCGGTACCGGTACAAGTGTGTACAACACAGGTACATGGCTAAGCTGCTTTGGTCAACCTGCCCCTGCCCAGAATCGCCTGATTCGGCTTAGCAGGAGCACTCTTGGCCCAGTTCGGTGCGGCCAGAGACGACTCCCGCCCGCCAGCCTGCTAGGGCCAAGCATGGTGGGGTTGGGCCCTTGGAGAGGAGCAGCCTCTCGGAGGGTGGGAAGGGAAGGGAAGGGAAGGGAAGAGAAGGGGGGAATGGGGGGCAAAAAGGGAAGCAAGCAAACGGGCTGAGGGAGCGGACGGACGAGGACAGAGGCGGCCCTAGCTCCGACCTTGTTCCCACGGTACTCTCTCGCATGAGTGTACTATGTGTGTATGTATGGCATGTATGGTATGTATGGCATGTGTGGTATGTATGGCATGTATGGTATGTATGGCATGTGTGGTATGTATGGCATGTATGGTATGTATGGCATGTGTGGTATGTATGGTATGCATGGTACATGACGCGCCATCTCACCCACAATCACAATCATTCAGGGGCCACCCAGCGCCCGTCCCCACCCACTCCCTAGCCCTCATCCCCCATCTGTTCTCAGCCTGTTTGACCTGCTTGACCACCTTTTTGACGGTACATACTACATATAGGTTTTGACTTGCAGCCTGCAGCCCTGTACATATTATAGCCAAAACTTCTGGTGGACACCACCTGCACCTGGCAACACATCTCCCCACCCACATGCATACCGTAGACACATCTCAAGCCCAACAGTGCAAAAGTATGCCCAATCACTACCTAGATGCAGCAAAGTGCCTTGCTCTGGCGTCTGTACTCTAGGTAGGCCGAGGATGAAGCCACTACAACCCACCCACACCCACAATTAGGCCATTGGCTTTGAGCGCTCAGCGTATCTACTCTCCTCTCCTCCCCCCTAGTACTCCCATTCGACCACAGTACATACCAACTGCACTGCACTACAGCCCCGACTCTTGTTCGTCGTGTCATGTCCTCTCGTCTCCTCTCGTGTCCATTCGTCTCGCCTCGTCTCGTCTCCTCGCGTCGCGCAAAAGAGCAAAAGAAAACGAGCCCATGCCAATGGCTAACCACAGTAGAGTATAGGCTAACCCCACCCCATGCAGGTACGGTACACCGCGGTATCCAAAACACACACGCTCCCAATCCACACGCTGACAAGCCACCATCACACATCGTATTTGATAAACCTGACACTGATACTTGACACTTTTGACACCCTGCATCGTTGTCTATCTACATCCCACCGGTACCTACCTTGACACGACTCGCCCTACACAGTACACTCTGTCCACACTCATCAAGATCCACTCACATCCATCATGAGCCGACAGCTCGCATCTGTTTCCATCGACGAAAAAAGCGCTTGCATCGGGCCACAAGCCACATCCACCCATCATCGCATACGACAAGTAGTCCGTTACCTTTTCGATAGTCTACCTAGTACCTACTAGTAGTCCACTTTCTTTTCTTTTCTTTTCTTCATTTCCTAATGCTCCTCACTTAACCGTGCATCAACAGCACAACAACACGACGACAACAATACTACTACTACACATGCTTCGTCCATACCTCATACCCGTCTACTACGCATACCTGTGTATGTATGCATTATGAACCTATCATCAGCCCTGCTACCTGCTACTATTTCCATGTTCATCCCATCTTCAGTCCACCTAGCCGTCAAGGCCCCACCGACGTTTCATCCACTCCCGTTGTCGCGTAATGCACACCCTGACTTGAGCCACCCCACCCCCCCCCCCACCAAGTAATGTACACCGGTATGCCATGCCATGCCATCCTCCTCCAATGTTCCATGTAAGCCCTCGTCGCCATCGACTCGTGTCCAATGCCTTCCTCTTCAACTACCTACCAACTTCCATCTCCACAACCTGCGCTGCCGTGTCTGCTGGCTCACATGTCGGTCATAATGTCCTCTTCTGCTTCAGCACCATCGTCCCAAGTCGTGTCCATGCTATCCCCTCCTGGACCCTGTCTCTTACTCGTCCGCTTAAGATTGTCAAGAAACTCCTTCGTCAGGTTGAGTCGATAGTCAGCATCCCTGACTTGTTCTGCTAGTAGGTTCGTCCGGAGCGTCTGCTCAAACAGCGCCTGTTGCTGCTGTTTCTCCGTCTTAGCTAGAGGCCCCTGCGCAGGGTCGAGGAAGAATCGCAAGACTACCCCAACGTTTGGCTTCCTCGTCTCCTCTAGGCGTGCGTTGAGTTGGCCATCCTTGATCAATTGGTCGACATACTGCGCAATCTCATCGGCACCGGCGCCAACATTATTGGCGATATTGGACACTGGGATCGCCGAGAAGGTCCGTGATAATTGTGAGATGTACAGCTTCATCTGGCTGTTCAAAAGCTCAGCGACAAGACCACTGTTACCATCCTGCAAGTTCGTCAGCGCCTAGTGCAACAAACAAACATTGTTTCATGACTTGTTTCATTACGCACCTCCGCCCATATTTCCTCGCCAATCTTGATTTGAGCTTTCAGCTTGGGCAAGTTCCCCAGTTGCTCGTACGCATCCGCCAGGGCTTCATACGCTTTAGATGCAGATTTGCATTGTTTCATGGCAATACTATTGGCCGTTCGGGGGACCACTGCGGTCTGCATGATGTTAGGCAATCAAACAGAAACGGCTAGGCGAGACTTACCTTGCCATTGACCAGACAGCTGACGAGTACCCATTTCTTGTACGCCTCCAGCATCAGGCCGTTTGCAACGTTGGATGATGGTGCAATGAGCACGCACTCCAAAAATTGTTGGGCCTTCTTAAATTTCTTTAGACCGAGATAGGCCATGGCCCCCAGTACATAATACTCCATTACGTCTTGCAGCCAAATCCTCTCCGAGTGACCCGAACATTGATGAATGTACTCTCCACTACTCACAACGTCTGCACAAGGAACAGAGTACTCGAGTCCTTCATGAACAGCGCTGGGAATATTCGACGGTAGGGTGTGGATGTAGTTGTCGAGGATAGGTTCGGCGGCCGCGTACGATCTCGTCTCCAGACAGAGGTGTATGAAGATGAGGTGGGTAGAGGTAAAGGTACCTGTGGTAGGATCGAGACGGGTCATAGCTGACCTGATGGGCGCGATGGCAAGACTAGGCTGTACGAGTTAGGTGTTGCTACGCAGTAGCTACATGCCATGATACCACATACTGAACCAACTGCTCGGGCAATCTGCTCTGTGAATTCCACCAGCCTCCTCCATTCCTGGCCAACATAACGCAGTTGTACTGGATCAGCTGTCTCGAAGAAGAGGACCAGACTGTCCCAAAGCGTACCTCCAGGTTTTAGCAAATCTGGGACACTCTTCTTGTCCATCAGTGCAGATATGCGGTAGCGGAGGACGTATGCGTATGCTATCGTGTTGACGCTGGGGTTGAGTATCTGCCGATTCAGAAATGTTTAAACACACAGAACACCACCACAACTCACTGTGAGTACATCTTCCTGTGTCTCTACACCCTTAGACCAATGCGAGGCCGAGATGCTGGAAAGTTGTAGGACAAAACTACGAGCAGCTTGATCATATTCGCGTTTCTGTTTCAGTTCTGGCGCATCAGGCTGGAACTGAAGAAGTATTTTGACCAGTTCCGCCGCCATGATCGCGTGTAACTGGCGATTGACCCAGGATCAAAGTAGTTGGCTGACTGTAGGGCGGCGAGGTGGGGCAGGCGGATTGCCGGTTGTCGCTGGTGATGCAGAGGCTCAATGTATGTTTTGGGCTTCCAATGTAATTGTTTCTATCTTGTTAAACTCCACCGGAAGCAGAGAGCATGGAAAACATGTGCTTCGTGGGCAGGCGATTGTTTAGTTGGTGATGTGGATGCGGAGCGCAGCTCTCCCGTAGCTCCAAGGCAACATGGGCAATGGTAAACGCGTGCACGGCCCCTCGGATAGTCGACCCCCACCTTACACTCTAGGCTAGATCGAGCATGACATCTGCCACCTCTGAGCCTCACTCCTTTACATGACACGCCATCATGAGCTATCTATCGCCTTACTACCGCACTGCCGCTCGTCAAAGAAATCATGGCATTGAAGGAGGCGATCTCTGTGTACCGTGCCAGAAAGCTTTCAACGAGGACGGCCGCGACGGCTTTGCTGACATTGGTACGCCATTGTGGCTGAATGACGGCTATGAAGACGCAAAACATCTCGCGGAGCCTCTGCTATACTGTTGCTGCTGCCGTCATATGTTGAGGGCAAGTGAATATGCCAGGAGAAAAGGAAGGGACAACGAGCAACCCACCAGATCGCAGCCTCCGTGGTTTTTTGATGGCTTGACAACCAGCACGTTTCTCCACGATGATGATCTAGACGTGGTCGAGGAACAAGAAAATACCCTGAAAGATTTCAAAGTAGCAAAGTGTCCTTATAGTCGCACAATACGACATCACTGGGCAGATATCCCGAGGATCCAGAGCTGGCTGAATGATTGTGAAACGGGCCATGGTGACAGCTGCAATAAGCACCGTAGGTTTGACACTGACGCGGGAGAACTCCTCCTAGTAGATGTTGTCGACGACTGTCTAACCGTAGCAAATTTCGAGCACCGTTACTTTGCATTGAGCTATGTATGGGGCACTTCGAAACAATTCCTTACTCTCGTAGCGAATTACGAGCAGTTGTGCAAGCCAGGGAGTCTCTCCGCACAACCGTTGACTCAGACGATCAGGGACAGCATATATTTTGTAAGGAGTCTTGGGGAAAGATATCTCTGGATTGATACAGTAGTATGGAATTGATTCAAAGCAGATAGGTAGCCACTTGGTTGACAGCTACAGTGCATCATCCAAGACGACAAGGCCAATAAGGCAAAAGCCATCGCCCAAATGTGCTCAATATACAGCAGGGCAGTGGCGACAATCATCTCTCTTAGTGGGACATGTGCAGATGCTGGACTGCCCGGAATTCCACCTACAGCGCGGAACACGACAGCCATGTACGTTTGTCCTGGGTTACACATTGCACAGCGCTCCATTCTCGACCAGATGATGAAGACTTACAACTACGACTCGGAAGACTGCGTGTACAATACACGGGCTTGGACCTTTCAGGAACGATTGCTCTCCAATCGAAGCATCATCTTTGTAGATGAGCAGGTGTACTTCCATTGCAAACAGCATCTAGTGTGTGAAGACCGATGCAACAAAGACGACACGGACTTCTATACCCTGGATAACATGCGCACATCAAGCGTCATGCTTCGGTCCAAAGCCGAAACATACAGCCCTCTAGACGAATTTCGCTGGTATGAGCAAATCGTAATCGAGTATACAACGAAGCGAATGGGCTGGCCAGACGACATCATCAACGCATTCACCGGCATCCAAACCGAACTATCAAACATGTTCAACTGGACCTTCACAGCCGGCTTACCCACCTCACTACTAGATCTCGCATTACTCTGGACGCCAATCTCCACCATTGAACGGCGCCTCACCAGCTTCCAACAACCCAGCTGGAGCTGGTCCGGCTGGCTCGGCCGAATCCGCTACACAGATCTAATCCGTCACGGCCACCGGCCCATCACTCCCTTATTCAAACCCCTAGGCACCAAAACCCTAGCCGAACCAGCCAAACTGGTTCTCAATTGCCCCAGTATCCACCTCTCCCCCTTCACCCTCGCAAAGACTCCAAACGCCCTCTTCGACCCCTTTGAAAGCAGTCTCATCTCCCCAACCTCCTCCTTCCTCTTCGACAAACACAATCGACGCTGCGGTATCCTCATCGGGTGGTGCGGCGACACAACAGATTCGAACTGCCTCGGGCCTCTCCACCTTGTCCAGCTGTCCGCGTGGAAAACGAATAATAGTCTGATGGTTAATGGACCGCTCCTTGCGCATCTCCAAGATGATGGCAATCGAGTGGAGGAAAGACTGTTCGATGACGCGTTTTCTGATTTCGAATGGTGTACGTATAATGTCATGCTTGTTCGTCCAGTGGACGCGGTGGCATACGAGCGAGTGGCCATTGGGCAGATTCACGTTGATGCGTGGAGACAGGCGGGTGAGGCGCTGAAGGCTTTTGTGGTGCAATAGATGGGTGTTGGAGAACAAAAGACACTGCTAGCTCTGTGAAGATTAGGTAGATCAGGTATCGTCGGCCCCAAATACAAAGAGACATGATTCATTATTGCATTTCCCGTCCACGTTTCCGAACCACTGGAAAAGGCCGATAGAACTCAAAAGTACTGCCAAAACCTCCCAACCAACGCCCAGCAATGCGACATCAACAAGAAAAACAAACACAGCTATATAAAAAACACCCCCCAGCTCATCATCTTCTCTTAACCGCCTCCTCCATCCTCCTCACCAATGCCCTCAACCCCACCCCCTTCTCGCAATTCGCCTCCAACCAATCCTCCATCCTCTCCCTCACCCTCCTCATCCCCCTAAGCACAGGCATCCTCCCGCCCTCCTCGGCCTCCAAATGCGTCAGCGGATTCAACAAGAGATCGAGACAGTCTGCCCAAATCTCCGTCTGCCAATAGCGCTTGAGGCTCTCCTTGATCCTGTACGTCTTGGTAGCGCCCGCGCCGAGCGTGGGGCCCCCCTTGTCGGCCACGGTGGAGATGTACTTGCCAAAGAGCAGGTTGTGCACGATCCCGACGAGACCGTGGTAGTCAATCTGGTAGGTCCAGGGCCGCAGTTCGCGCATCTCGGCGCAGTCGGCTTCGGTGGTGGGCCAGTCGGCGATGAATTGTACGGTGGGGATAAAGGCCTTCATGTCGATGCCGCGCCCAAAGTCAATCAGGCTGATGCCCTTGGCGGCCCAGCCGTTGCGCCCATCGCGCGCGTACTCGGCCGACCATGTCTCGTCTTTGGACAGCGTGTCGAAGCGCACGAGTATGTTGTCGGCTTTGAGATCGCCATGTATGACGCCTTTGGCATGCAGTGCTTCCACGGTGCGGAACAGCTCAATGGTGAAGAACATGGCTAGTTGTTCGTCCATGACGCCATTCTCCGCACGCGCCAGGTTTACGAGATCAAGGAGGGTACCTTGATCTCGATATTCTTCTACGAGATAACATTCGTCGCGAAACACGTGCATCTCATAGGCTTGCACAATCGAGGCGGCAGCGCGGGACACGCCTAGGCGATGTGTGGCACATCGCATGATGTAGAATTCCCACGGTGTGGGAGGATCCTCCATTTTAACAGCCTCGAGAGCTTTTCGCTTCATACCAAACTCTCCCTTACCCATCTGCACAGGGGCGTCGTCTTCCTCGTCTGAGTCCAGGGCCTTGCTCTCGACGAGGTAAACGGGGGCGAAGGCGCCTTTGCCGAGTTCGCGCTTGACGGTGTAGGTCCGGTCAGTGCCTGGGAACTTCAGAGTTGGGCAGACGGTTAGATTGGTCATTGTTTTGTCGTTGGCGTTCTTGTTCATCTTAGATACAGCTTTTGTGTATCTCCGAATCTCAGCACCCTTTCCGTAGCTTTGTCCAGTGTCTGCGAAGTAGCCATCGTAGCTATCTAGCGGCGGTTGAATCTCTTGTAAGATAGTCTTACGAATTGACTCATCGACGGGATTGCATTGAGCATCCTGTATAATCGGACCACTTGGTTTGACAGGCTTAGCAGGAATGTCCTTTGTGCCCAGAGGCTTTCGTTTTGGCTCTTGCACGTCTTCCTTCGGTGCTGTCGATCTCACGTCCGTCAAAGCAAGCTTCGCAACTTTGCCTGGACCATCAACGGCCTGAGCTAAAAGATCTGAGAAGGGACTGCTGCCAGGCTCACCATCATCCTCAAGGATCGCAGGGGCTCCTCTTGAGCGCGATGGTGTCTTTGCTGCAAAGTAGTCTTTTTGTGCGCATGCAGTCGCGAAGCCTAGTGATGATTCTGTCTTCTCTACAATCGGGGTCATGAATGGGAGGCGGTTATTAGCAGCCTGTACGGGGTCTCGATATGGACGCATAGAATGCTCGTAATCTTCTGGTGGCACTGGAACGAAGCGAGTTGGTAACGAGCCGGGAGCCGAAGGCGAAGTCGGGGTAACCACATCTGGGTCATGCTGTGTTTCTGCATCGACATGCGGTTGCGTAGTTTGATCAAAGGAATCTCCGTTTGATTGTTCCGACTCATCATCTGAGTCATCTTGCCGATGCTCTTTGGGTACATGTTTGCTCTCTGTGAAGTCAGACCAAGCCGAGACGACACTTTTAGCGTCGGTGTCATCAGCATCAGTGCCATCGGCATCAGTTCCTTCACCATCGATATCTGTATCGAGAACTCTTGTACCGAGCGTGAAGTCTCCTGCAGTAGTCTCGTCTCCGTAGTCGCTGTTGGCGCCGGACATGCGACCTGTACCAGTGCTCTCACCTGCACTGGTATAGTCATCGCCGTCATCATCGTCATCATCACTGCTCTCCTCAGCACTCTGAACCCCCGAGACGTTCTCGTCAGCAGCTTTGAGTGGTTGGTTGAAGATGCCATAAATCTCGTCCATTGCCTCCTTGGTATGCAGCGTCATCGTTGCCTCTGGACCACCTTTCTTTCGGCGAATCTTTGGTTTGACAGGGGAATCCAGGTTTGTTTGGACTACAGTTGATTAGTACAATTTGCAGACTCCGGGCAATATTACTCACTTGTTTGGGTTTCTCCACGGACTTCCTTGGTCTCCATAACCTTGATTTTTCTAGTCCTGTTTGCCTTTTCTTCCCGCCTAGCTCTTCGTGCAGCTTTCGCTTTGTCTATTTCTGCTTGAGATGGGGGGACATTTTCGTCGTTGGGGGCGTCATCATCAACACTGCCTTTGAGGGGTACAGTTTGTGGCTTTGGAGTCTCTTCTGTATCACGTAGTATTGCAAGTGGCGACGTTTTGGGCTGTGGTGCTTCATCCGTGTCGCGCAGAATTGCCAGTGGCGATGTTCTAGGTTTTGATTGCAATGCAACACCAGCTGCCTTCTCTCCTTCAGCCCGTTCCTTTCGCCGGATACTGGCCCAGTCACGATGCAGCCATCCTCGGTGCCTAGCTCGCAGTTCCTCAAATGAGTATTCTTCAGACATGGGATTCTCAAGGTTAGGGTATACACTCGCCAGATCGACGAAAACGACTTCGAGCCGTCCAGTCCTAGGATTGACAGCTTGTTGGTATTCACGTAGCGGATGGGATGGAACGTTCTCATTGTGATCGTTTGATTTGGTCTGAATACATGAACGGCAAACGCCAACCAATTAGTCCTGTAATCGTAAATATGTGAAGGGGACACTGAAGACGGGTCAGCTTACCTCATCCTTGAATATCATCATCTTGCCCACGCCCGTGTTCTTCTTTCCCACTTTCAACGTCTCTCCAGCCCAGGGTCGCGCCTCTGTTGTATTTTCCTTCCTACGATCTGCTAGCGACCCTATGTTGTCCCAACCTTCCTGGCTACCGCTCGATGGAGCTCGCGCAGGTTCGTCACCGTCCGAGAAGATAGCAAGTTTTTGCTTGCCTGATCGGGATGAGCCAGCTCCTGGCTTCGGTTGGCTCTGTGCTTGTGCTGCAGGCGCTGGCGACGAAAGCGCGAAAGGGTCGACCTTTGCTGCCAGAGCTGGACGAACGGCGGGTAAGGCGGGGCTTGTAGGCTCAGGGACCTCTTTTGGACGGCTCTCGAGCCTGTGCTGAAATTCTCCATACTTGCGAACCAGGCGCTCTACTGGACGGGCGTTGCGCTCGATGCCCAGATTGTAAATCTCCTCGGCTTGTGTGAAGCGGCCCGCTGACTCCAGCCAGGCTGCAAATTCTTCGTAGTAGAGCGCGAGACTGTCTCCAATGTTGTGGCGCGCGAGATACGCGAAGATCTCTCGTGGCGCATCGGCGAAGAATCTGATGTAATGCAGCCAGAGCTTGAGGTAGCGCGCATCGTTCTTGTACTGTGGCGACGATTGGAAGGCTTTGGTGGCGCGCTCAAGCAGTGTGCAGAGCTGCGACTGTGGTGTGTTTTGGGCCGAGGGGTACGCGTCTAGCGTCCACTTGACGTAGCGGTCGTAAACATCAAGGGGGTCGTCCGACTCGTCAATGGCCATGAGCTCCTTCTCATACTGCAGCCGCACGGCGCTGTGCGCATCCTGTATCTGCGACGGCGACGGCGTCTGGCCCGCGCCCGAGGTTAGGGGTGGTGTGAAGAGCTGCGCCAGCGCCTTGGCCGAGCGTCCACTGGGCAGCGACTGGATGTTCTCCTTTTGGTTCTCGATTACTTCAAAGTCGATCAGGTCGTCGGAACCCATGGCGCCGGTAGGGGGTATCACAAATACAGAGAAGGAAGGAGGAGAAGAAGAGGGAGAAAAGAAAATATCCGGGTCCCGAGAGGAGAAGTGTCGTCCAGAGGCGTAACCGCGTGCGTGTCGTTGATGCAAACCACAAACTTGATCCGTGGTTGTTGTGAGGGTAGCGGGGTCGATGCAGGTGGGTGGACCCTGCATCGCCATCGCGCCTACCCCAATAGTTCCGCGTTGCTACAGCGACCGTACTGCTCTGAGCTAGTCAGAGACATCTACTATAGTATGTAAGTCTACCCACATGTCCATGCTAAGACACAACATGGACAAGGTTATTGAGTGAACATGGTTTGCAAAGTCTAGATGGAACTCGTGTAGGCTTGTACGTAGCGGAGATTTACAGCGCAATCGTGTATATATCGAAACGTGTCAAGTACATACAGGCAAAAGAGAAAAGCGCGTCCAAAGAGTACTACACTATCGACCCGCCAAAGCAGAGCCCGCAACCATTACCCGTTGATCCAAATGTAACCCCAATCCAAAAGCAATCACGCTCCAAAATTGACCGCTCAATGACAAGTTCAACAACGCGAATCGCCAACACCCCCCCAAAAGACAAGACACCAGCTGTGAATCGGTTTGGTATATCCCTAAGAGTCAAGCAAAAGGGCAATGCGCAGAAAAATAAGACGGTGCATAACGATGACAAAGCAAGGGACTAGCATGTGCCAAGGGGAGTCGAGCAGGAGCTCTGATGGATGGGTATCATCGAAAGCGGCAACAAGAGCCCTCACCAACGGCGGACAAACGAGACTAAATGACTGGGATTCGTGTGGTGTTGAGCCAAATCATGATTGTATGTTGTTGCGTTAGACTAAAGAAAGAGATTCGTAATGTTCTTTGCGGCCGTGACATCGTTAGCAAATCGGCAGAAACGGAACGAGTGACGTTGATCTAGATCGTGACTGTGCTGGTCCAAGGTTTCGCAAACATTCATGGCATTCTGTACTGTTTGTTCCACGGAGGTTCAGGGACGATTTGCCACAGCTTGCTGCTCGCCTGTGGCAACGGCAACAAGTGCTTCCAATCGTCTCATGTCGTTACCACCATTCTGGGGCAGCGGTTGACCAAATGTGGATGGGCCTCTTTCTGGCTCACGCTGCGGATGATAGCTTGAGCTCGACAGGCTATGACCATCAAACGGTTGATAGTGCGACGATTGTGAAGCATTCAGTGGGTGCGGCCTCTCCATGATGGACGCAGATTGAGTACGCTTGTGTTCTTCAACAGAGGTACCAACCGCATGCGCTTCCACATAGCCATTGCTGTGTACAATGGCCGGGTGATATTCACTCATAGTACCAGGGGTTGGAACGCCCTCACTGCTGCTTGAGTCTTCAGGAGACGTACGTTGCAACACCCGCTGCGGTTGAGCGAGCGGGCCATTGTACCATCCTTGACGTTTGGCCTTTCGAGGGGTTTCAGGCTGCTCTTGCGAGTTTCTAGGTGAGCTCATGCTTGGAATCTGAATTGGATGAGGGGCGCTCATAGGCTGACGTTGACTACTGAAGTAGCCATGTGGTGCGGTCGTAGGCCGTCCGTTATTTGGTTGCGTTGGGCTCCCAGGGTACTGTCCCCATGGCTCTCGCGAAGCGTTGGGGCTACCAATTTTTAAGCGATCAATATCCCATGAGATGCTGGTACGCTTCTGATGACCTCTGCTGGGTGGTGGCGGAGGGCCAGGTTGGTGGTAGGTAAGAGGACGACCCGGTGCATCGATTTGCATTGGGCTTGGCTGGCGACGAGGAAGGGAAGGTGGAGGAGGCGCATAGTCAAAACTTTCTATGCCTGGCAACCTAGTAGTCTGAGATGCAGCGGGTTGTGACGTGTACGATGGTCGGGGTGCATCTGGTGTCTGATGATAACCAAGTCCACTCGTCGCTGGCCGTGGGCCCGTGTACGTGCCTGGGTGCCATGTACGTCTTCTCCAGTCCGCTTCTGCGTTTGAATCTCTTCGAGACTCCGAGAAATTTGATGCGGTGGGGCTTGCATACATGCTACTTTGCCCGGAAAATGAAGGCGCTGCAGAGGACTGTAAGGCCGGCATGAATGGAGGAAGGCCCTGACCAGGAGGACCAGAAAAGGGGTTACTGTTGCTGTTGGAAGAAGCTGACATGCGTCGTCCTGGAGGTGGCGGACCAGCCCAAGAAACTGGCCGCGAGGTTGTAGATGCAGGTGACTGCATAACAGATCCAAAACGAACAGGACTACTAGCCCCCACGGGAAAGGAAGAGGATTGTGGTGTCGTCGGTGCATTGGACTGGGCATCATATTCCACAATTTGAGGCCCAGGACTACCCATCAGCGGTGGATTGTAAGCTTCCATGGTGTTGAGACTCAGGCGTGCTCTCGCTCCACCGTCATTTGCCATGGCCAGCGGTGGAGGCCGACGTCGTGCATCAGGAGACTGAAGCATGCTCATGCTGGACATGGTAGACGTGATACTTGACGATGACAAGTTTCTACTATGACCCCGGCTATGCCCACCTGTACTGCCTAGCGTGTTCGCTCTAGAGCGGTTTCCTGGAGGTCGCACACGGTCAGTGCGAATCTGTCGTTGGAATCGAGTACCAGTCGCAGCGAGCGATTCCGCCGGTATGTCTTCGTTGACATGGACCGTTTGAGCGTGCTGGCGAAGGTTATCGAGACGCGAGAATCGTCGGGAGCAGTGACATTGGAAGGGCCTTTCACCTGTGTGCTTCCTGTGCCATGTCAGCTGTGAAGGAGCCATTTGCAGTAGTAGTAGTAGTATCCCCTACCGAATGTGTCTTGCTAAGTGCTCGCTCCGGGTGAAACTCAGATTGCAGGGGGGGAATTCTGTACAGAAAAATCGCTGCCCTTTTTTCTTTTTCGATGGCCTGTTCGTATCACTTGTTACACTCTCATTGTCCGAATCCTCCTTGTCGTCCTCCTCTCCCTCCCTCATTTGCACATCCTGTATGGAAGCCACTGATTGCGTCGACCGATGCGAGTTTTCCATGCTCCTTTCACTCTTATTCGACGGTGTTTCGCTGAGGTCGCGGGCCGGTGTGAAGGGCGAAGCGGGGAGTGGTCGCTGACCAGCGAGACCGGCAGCAAAGCTGTTGCGTGTGGGCGTCTTTGCTGAAGCATCCTCGATGCGAGACTCGTCCTCGCCTTTAGACTCTGGGAAGAACTTGCTGTTGGGTCGGGGCGTAGTTGGTGTCGTCTCCTCCCCAGCGCGCCCCGGCAACGAGTCCGGTACGGTCAGCGTGGTGTTGACGGCTTGGAAGGTCGACATGCTGGGCACAGACACCGGCCACGAGGCTGCAGTGTTTGTTCCTTTCTGCTCTCTCTTATGCCCCGGCCCTGTCTTGGTGTGTTACTTGGGCGAACTGAGCTGGGAAGAGAAATGCGGGTGGCCCCGTCGGTGAAGCGGCTGTGAGAAGGCTGAAACGAAGACGATGACGAATAGAGAGCGGCGTTGCGACAACATCCGGGACAGGGCACGCTGCAAGGAACAAAACAAGAGGACCGGCAAAACGAAAAAGGTGTTGTCGTATCGTCGTAAGTCGTAGCAGGCTGGCTGTCCCACCTTGGGCCAGTCGCTGAGGTGGGGGGACAGATGATGCGCGGACTTGAGACGCGACGATAAGGCGAGGGCGCTCTCTATGCCTTAGTGGGCTTTTGGGGTGGTGGGTGGCGGGGGAGGAGCGAGCAAGCCACGGGTAGCCCCTCGTTGGTGCAGGACTCGAGAAAGAGAGAGAGAGAGAGAGAGAGAGAGAGAGAGAGAGAGAGAGAGAGAGTCAGAGACAGACACCAGGGGCACGAGCAGATGCGGTAGATTGCGGCTCTGGGATGCAGCCAAGTCAGCAAGGAACTGCAAAGACTGCAAGAAAGACTGCGATGAGGGTCAAGGGACTGCAAGGACTGCAAAGTCAGAGAACAAGTGTCGATTCAGATGGCGGGGATTGGACTTCACTCGCGATGCGTTGCAACTGCATGCGAGGAGGGAGGGGTTGGGTAAGGCACGGGCGGGATCTTAGCGGCTTTGTCTTGCGCCCTGAAAAAGATGCGGCCTGGCAACAGGCGGTACTGGTTAGAGTCCGATCCACCACCCACGACCTTTGCGACAAGCCAGGCTGCTTGCAGATCATCCCTGGACCTGACGAAGCTCGGCTCGGCACCAGCCTACTTAGAGAGTACCTACCTAGTGGCATGGGGCCAGCTGACGAGCCCCTGTGTCTGTGGTGAGAAGAAGCATTCTTTGCCCACCGAGAGAGAGAGAGAGTGTGTGTGTGTGTGAAAGAGAGAAAGAGAGAAAGAGAGAAGGGGAGTGGCGGGGAGAAAACAGAAGGGGGGGAGAGAGAGAGAGAGATCAGAGTGTTCAGAGTGTTCAGAGCGTTCAGAGAGACAGACAGAGAATGTGTGTTTGTCTGTATGCGCTGGAGGAGCCGAGAAAGGTGGTCGTCGTCTCTCGTCCATGCATGTAGGTACGATACCGGTACTACTACAATGTAGGCCCATGTTTCGAGGTACAAACATGGCACAGCAGCCTCATGCACCACTGTCGCTATCCGGGACACTAGTTGGAGTAAGTAGTAGGTATATCAACGGCGAGATGGGTAGGTATTCCACTATTGTACCTACTCTACACAGTCGATGCTCTGCAGTCCGTGATTCAGCCCCGAGAAAGAAGGGGAACCTACCTACCTGAGGAAGCTTGAGCGTGCTCGTGTTCGAAGTGGATGACGAGATGATCCGTTTCACATGCCCCACACAACCAGGGAGGTAGGTAGTAAGCAGCACGTTGGTCGACCAGGCCCCCAAGGTCCAGGCTAGGCTACACCCACACAGCACCATCCACGGTCTATTGATACATAGTAGTACGACCGTCTTCCTACTATACAGGCAAGCCAGCAAAGACGCGAGATCTAGTGCGGCCGGTTGCAAGCATCACGTTGGGCTCTTCCGGTCCAGCTGCGTAATTCTCTTGTCCACGCTGCGAGCAATTGGTTAACGCGCCTGCGTCCTGCAGCTAACAGCGTGGGCAAGCGCCGATGCAAGGGGGGCGGGAGAGACGAAGAGACAGTCGAAACCGATCCACCGAAAATGTTGTACCTTAGCTGGTACAGGTACAAGTTTGTACCTTGCTGAAGCGAACACTAGCCACCGCGATTCTGCCGGGCCTGAGCGCTCGCAGCTTTCACGTCCGTACGTCTCGCAATCGAATAGGACGGCGTGGTTTGACGTACGTTGGGCGGTGAGCGACAAGACTGCCTAGACACACAGTACACACTTCTGACTGACTGGGGATGGGGGCTCCCAGCGCGGCAACTCTAGTACCGACTGTGTGCGGTCAAGGAACCTTTGAACAAAGCGCTGGCTCGATTGCTTTAGAGTATTTTCCTGGCCCTCGAGAGTTTGGATAGGTGGACCAGCGCGGACACGCGCGGGAGGACAAGTTGGGTACTACGTCAAGGATCATCTGACGCCGCCTCATTTCTGTTGGTCTTGAAGCTTTGTTCTTTTGGCCATGCTCGAGCCAATCGTGCTTCCGCTTGCAACTGAAGGCTGAGGGTACTGCGAGTTCCGGCTTGCGCCTTGGAAGTCTGTCTTCTCGTGCTCTCGCGCTCCAAGGCCCAGCATCCCATGCCCATAAGTAAATAAAATAAAAGGTCGACAGCTCGGGCCAAATCAAGTGTTCAAAGCAAGCGCGAGCCGTGGCCAGGATTCAATCTGGGCTTGCCGGCTTATGCGGGCTGGCACACCTCGACGACAGAGAGGAGGGCATCAGCTGCCATATGGATCCATGGTGCCGGTCATGGCCATGGCGGTGTGGTGTTGAGGGGCAAAGGCTAGACGAACACAACTTCTACATTCAAGTGCAATAATAAGCCAGTTGCATGTGAAGTTAGTACCATGTATTAGCAGTTGCGTGAACATGTGCGTAGCCATTACTTGTAAGATGGAATCCTAGCATGTCGGAGAGTATTTATTCTGACAGCGAGGCATAAGACGACGAAACGTGATTGTAGTATTACTCTACGTAAGCAAGAGTAGGTTGGGTTATGGATAAGCTCGCCGCTGTGATGGGAACAGTTCATCCCTTGATTGTTCTGAATCAATCAGTAGTATATTTAATGCTTTATTTTTTCGTTTGCACAATCGGAACGGTAACTCAGTGGTAGAGTGTAGGATTGCAGTGCAAGTAATCCTGAAGTCATCAGTTCGATCCTGGTTCGTTCCTTGAGTAAGACGCTTTTTTTTGCTGCTGCATGCTTACGTTGAGATTGTCATTTGAGTCAACAATAGCATTTTTTCTTGGCTTGCTACTTTGATATATCACTCCCGTCATTCCATGACTAACCACGATCACTTCAACAACATCACACCTGCCCCATTTAGACCCATAGTACACCCCTGAAATGAGAACATTGTGTCGTAAACAACACCACACCCTACCCATTCACGTCTAACCCTACACCCTACCCATACACATCTAACCCTACACCCCACCCCCCAAGGTCAACCACCCATCTCATCCTCGCACAACGCACTGCACCGCGCCTCACTGCACGCACCCGATCCCAAGACTCTGTACCACGTACTTCCTTCCCCTCTCTCCACGACTCGGCTACAGACGCATGCAAGTATGCATTCCCGCCCCCCTCTCCCCCCCATGCACCGGTGTAACGCTTAGCAATGCATGACGGGCAGAAATTCCGTTGGCTGGATGCGCGGGACCTTGCACGAGCACGAGCAGGAGGGGAAGCAGCAGTACCCCTCGACAACGGGAACGGGGAGTAAGTGTAGTGTTATAGTCATCGTTTCGGCTTTGGCTTGTCCTTGAATTGCCTTGTGGTGCGCAGGAGCATGTGCAGTTTCCACGACGTTTGGGCGTTTTTCTTTGCGTGAAACAAAAGTATGTGGGGGGAGGGGGGATGGGGTGGGGGTGGGATTAGGGCCTGTGGGAGCTGGGCGGATTGATTTACATATACTACACACTACACATACATATACATGCATGATCTGAAACCACAGCAAGGAAATCATGTACTTGGCATTTGGAGATGCACAGGGGCAGTGGTATAGACTACTGGTCGTTTCGGCATGGACAATGCAGGGCAAGGACTGTGTTGTTGTATGATCTGATTTCTTTCGATCGATTCCTGACAAGAACGGTGAAGCAAAAGCCAGTGGAGCAACTCAAGTTGCATATGTTAGCTTTAGTCTCCGTGTGTAATATTATCCTACCATCTCCTTTTAAGCTCTCTTCCGTCAGATAGCATACGTCTGCGTTGCGCAGAAACCCCTCCCCTCCCGTCCAACGATCTGAACCAAGTCATCATAATTTCCGCCGTGCAATTAACTAGGCGGAGACTGCCAAGCGTGCTGTGTTATTGCTTACTGCACCACCTACTCAAAAGTCAGCATACTCGGGTCCGAAAAAAAGGTTGATAGGAAACACGTGGACGATGTGAACGACATCCTCCGTAAGAGCCGAGTTATTGCTTACCTTTTCTCGCAGCTTACTGATCCACTGGACAATGCTCTCGCCCTGGTCTGCGCGGTCCTCGACCAGCAATGTCTGAGCCCACAGCTTGAGACTTGGGTCGCCATCTTCTTTGATAATGTACAGTGTGGGCAGTGTGATACTGCCGACACCCTTGGACTTGTGGTCTCTTGATTTCTCAACGACTGTGTAAAAGTTAGACAAGGTACCGCGACATCTGCGATGCGATTGATTCTTACCAGCCCTTACTCGTTCAGAGTACTCATTGTCCAAGACAGGCAAGGATGCCTTGCCCTGCTTGAGTTGTGTGCGGTCTTCTACCCCGAACACATCCGCGAGAAGTGCGGGGACAGCGTCACGGCCGACCCACCTACTGTTCTTAGCGGAGGAAAGCGAATCATTCACATATATGACTCACAAGAATTGATTAACACCGTCGTCTAGAAGGTACAGTCCATATGGCACGATCGCTGCAGAGGAAAGGTTGAGGGCAGGAGGCATAGTGATCTGACCCGTTGTAGGCTCTGGCACACCAGCGTCATCGGGCATGTCCTAATCTGCTATCAGCTGACGTCACCCAAGAAAAAGGGAATCAATACATACGTGAAGGCTGTAGAAGCTAGGATAAATGTACTGAATTAGTAATCGCAGAGGCAATGTGGATAGTAGGTCAAGGGCAGCAGATCGAAGATCAGAGGGTATTTGAGCGCTCTTTCTGAGACCGACGTTTTTGATGAGACCCAAAAATAGGATGGGAAGAGCTCGCAGATTCTGAGGTAGCTGTAGTCCACCACCACCCATACTGCCACCAGCCAGTTCCTTCCTGTACGTCGAGAGAATTTCAATGATCTTTGCCTGCAGCGCGTCTCTTGCAGCATCGAGTCCACTAGACAGTGAACGCTCAACGGCCTTGTGACTGAAGTAGGTGGCAATTGCTTGTGGATCCGCCGATGCGTAGACGGAAGCAAGGCTTTCTGTTGTAGGTACAGCAAGCGTCAAGACCCTGATACGACGTTGGCCGCTCGATGTTGTGTGCAAGACGGCAGCCTGAAGACAAGCAAAGGGCTTGGTAATGGTCTCATCGATCGCAACCTCAATAACGACAGCTTGATCTCTAGGGTAGGCTGGGAAAGCGCAGAGGTCAGACGAGCGGTTAAAGAAGTTTCCGTAGAAGGCAGACATCCTTAAACCAGTGGTAGCGCGCACGCGCAAGACGGCCTCCAACCCAATTTCTGCCGACAGGTAGTCTGCCAGCTCCGTCGCAATCTTGACGACATCTTCTTGCCTTGCAGCATTCCATCCAGGATAGAAGTATGTCTGACCAGCTGTGAAGCGTGGCAGGTTGCTGAGGGTCGCAACGTCCTGATATTGGGAGGAAAACAGGAACATGTCGACTGAGACCTGGTTCTTTGAGCATTCGACTGCGAAAGACTTGTACCAGTTGTTGGCAGGCTGCAACAAGCTGCCTTCCTTGCCAGTTCCTAGCAATGACTTGTCTTCTCTTGGGCTCAAAGCAGCGTGACCCACATTGGGAAGGGGGGCACCTATTCACTCCACTGTCTGCAGCTATCGCCCGGATGTCCTTACTGTGGTGGCCTGCGGCGTGCACAGG